TGAAGGATACTAACAACTGAGCAAACTATTATTGTCTGTAAAGAGAACCTGCCTTTTGCCTATATACATTTCTATGCAATGAAGATGTTTTGAGTTATACTTTTCATAAAGGGCTGTTTAAGTGTGTGGAAGAGTAAAAATACCTCCCCAAATACATTTCTTTGGCACATGTGCAGTTGGTTATTCAGGGAACCTGCAGAGCAAGGCAGACACAGAAACAGCTCTGAACAGCTGTCCTGGTGTGAAAAAAATTTCGTTGATCTTAGTGAACAGTGGATTCAGGCAGAGGCTTTTTCTAGCTGACAACTCCCCTTCTGCTAGGAAAGATCTTTTCCTAGGAGGAGACTGGGGATCTGAAACCTGACTCACATGGAGATGGCCACAGATGGCTGTCACTGGGAGACTTCATCTGCACAGGAGGATAGCCCTTGCTGGCTGTCACCCCCTCCCCTCTATCTTAGGAAGAGGATATACAGACATTTAGCTTATACCTGGCTTTTGTGTAATTACTTTCCCCCATGTGATGCTCTTGTGAGTCATAATGAATTTTGAACATCAAAGTCATCTGCTGATCATGATTTATTGTCAGTTTATTTCAGAGACTTGATGAGGGGGGTGGAAAGGGAAGTATCCACCTGTATAACAATTTGGGGAGGAATTTAAGGGAAAAAAGAAGAGCTGAAGAGAAAGAGGAGATCCAGGAGGACATAGTATTGAAATGTTGATTTATTCATGGTCTGGTAGCAGTTTTATTCACAAGAGGCTTCCAAAGGGAAAGAATAGGTCCTGGGAGCTGCAAGAAAAAGAAGAAGAAGAAGAACAAAAAAAACAGTAGTAGCTTCTTTTTAAAAAATAGGTTTTTTTGAGATTGCAGTCAGACATTTATGCTATTTGTGCTTCTTGTTTGAGTTATGCAGAAATCAGGCAGAACATTTTCATTTTCTATACCAACCAACCTAGTTCAAACAACTAACCTTGAACCTAGTTCAAACTGGCTATCCTTTCGGTTTTGCCACACAGAGTCACCCATTTAAACTGTAACAATAAAAACAGACAAAATAAGAGGAATGGATTAAATCAAGTGATTTTTTTTGGTGGTGCCAGGGATCAAACTCAGGGCCTCATTAGTAATAGGCAATTGCCCTATCTCTGAGCTACAGACCCAGCTCAAGTGAAATCTTAAACTAATGCTGGCATTCGGAGTTAAGTATGTCCATTGTGAATGTGCCAATTCTCAACATCATCCTCCCTGCAGTGTGTTCCCAGTCAATCTGGGGAGATGTTGTCTGGAAGACAGAAACTGTTCTTCACATTCTATTGATTTTGGAGAGTTTTCCTGAAATTGCTTTCTAAGATTGCCTTAGTTACTTTTCTTGTTGCTGAGACACAATACCTGACACTCACGAGTTAAAGGAGGAGAGGTTTATTTCAGCTCACAGTGTGTAGAGATTTTATTCCATAGTTAGTTGGCTTTAAGGTAGGGTGGTGTGGCAGAGGGTTATCACAGAGGAGAAACAGTTCATGGCATGGCAGGCCTAAAGCAGTGAGCCCACCTTCCATCTTTCCCTTTATATCCCATCCAGGCTACAAGCCTATTGGTGGGTTCCAGCCACACCCACGGTGGCCCTTCCCATTATCCATACCCAGAATTATGCTAAACCAAACAGTGGACTAATTTAGTTAGCACACACCCTTAATCCATATTCACACACCCTTAGTTCAAATTCACACCCTCTAGATCCAGCCACCTAGGAAAAGCCCTACCTTATGAGCACATGAGGTTTTGGGGGAACATCTAGTTACAAGCCATATATTCATCTTAGAAACCACATGTGTACTTTTATACACTATATGTACAAGCATATAATCATATAAGTGTATTTATATGTCTGTATACACATACATATATAGAAATTTATGGTTCATGTGCCTTAAAATTTCCTCCCCAAGGGCCACTTCCATTCTCTTTTTATGACAGCTACTCCTGTGCTCTGTCTTGCCAAGATCTGATTCATACCATCTCTTCAGCTCACCAGTAAAATCATAGACACCTTGATGTGGACATCAGGCTGGTCAATCCATGGTTTTCTAGGGAAAGTCTCCAACTTAAAGTCCTTTGATTTTTTTCATCATACGAATTTTGAAAGAATTATGCCCTGATGAAATTTGAAGACAGAGATTTTTTTCCTTCTACTTTTCTATACCTCACACAACTGAATACCTGTGTAGAATGGATTCTGGTCTTGGGAAATGTCTAAAAGGCTTTTTTTTTTTGCCTCTGGAAAGTGGTTCTATGACCTGAACTTTCTCACTCAACCTGGATCTAGAGCACAGAGTTCCATGGAGTCCTCTAACTCACACAGGCATTACTACAATGAGTTCAGTGTTCCCATACTCCACTTTTCAGTGTTCTAAGCCTCACTCTTGATGGTGTTGGATCTGTCCTTTCCTTACCTGAGAGATGCCTCAGGATTTCCCCTGCTCCCCTCCACTTCAGTGTGCCTGTCCTCCAAATACTAACATTTCTAGTGTCTTTTATTCTTTTTTTTGGGTACCAGGGATTGAACTTGGGACCTCGTGCTTGTGAGGCAGGAAGCAGAACCAATGAGCTAAATTCCCGGCCCTCTTCTTACAATTTCATATGAAATATTTTCAAATAAACTCTAGAAGTAAAGAGACTACATACATAGGGTTTTCCTCTTTACTATGCATCCTACTATTGGAAATGGTAGAAAGCACTGAAGGTCATTAAGAAAGTCCAAAGATAAACTTACAGATAGTATTGCTGCTGGTGGTTGAATAAAAATTTCCTCGGGAACCACACGGTGCTGAGAAAAGTGGAAGATAGCGTTAGATGAAAAGAATTCTTGGGTTCCTCCAGAAAATAAAAATGTGGAGCTGTACTTCATTAAGACACATTGTGTCCTGACACTGATTTTCATGCACTTGTGGACTGGTGAGCTGCTAGAATTGCACAGACATCTTGTCTTTACTCTCTGCATTCTGGGTTGCATTGAATTTGCTTTATCTTTTGCCGTTTTCTGTTTGGAATGCTAACTCAGCTGTGCTAATTAAAGAAATTGAGAAAACAATGTTAATTCTGCCACATGCGGGAAGTTCTATTCTTTTTCAAAATTAATTTTATTGGTACTTTTTAGGTATACAATATAATGACATTCAACATTGGAGATTTGTACCTTTACATAATACAACTTGATTCTTATTTTTCCCCCCTTCCCCTGCCCTCCTTTCATCCACTCCACCCCTCCCAATTTACAGAGATTTTGTTTTCATTTTCTCATATTAATTCCAGTCCCCTCTTTCCTTTCTTCTACCCCTCCCACTTCCCCTTTGCACCTTTTCTTCCTAATTCACATTATCTGTTATACATTTTGATCCTTATTTACACTTTCAGTTTCTCACACCAGAGAAACTATTTGGTATTTACAGACGTGTGTCCTATTTGTTTCACTTTAGTATTGCCTCAATATACATCCATTTAGCTATACATGCCTCTAGTTTTTTGTTCTTTATGGCTGAGTAGTACTCCATTTTATAAAAATACCCACATTTTCTTTACCCAGTCTTCACTTGATGGCCAATTGGGCTGTTTCCATGTTTTAGCTATTACAAATTGTGCTGCTGTGAACATGGGTGCACATATATCGGTGTGGTATGATTCTTTTAATTCTTTTGGGAAAATACCCAGCAGAGGAAGAGCTGGGTCAAATGTGATCTCTAGTTGTAGTTTTTTGAGGTATCTCCATATTGATCTCCACACCACCAACAGCGTGGAGAGACAACCCACAATGTCGGAAAAAATTTTTACCAGCTGTTTCTCAGACAAAGGTCTACTATCTAGAATATATAAAAAACTTTAAAAAATCAGACCTCCCACATTTAAAAACCCAATTTAAAAATGGGCATCTGAAATGAACAGACATTTCCCCAACAAAGAAGTAGAAATAGCAAATAAACATGAAAAAATGTTCAATATCACCGGTCATTCAAGAGATGCAAATGAAAACCATGCTGAGATTCCATCTCACCCCAGAAAGAATGGCTGATATCATGAAATCAACCTATAACAAATGCTGGCTGGGCTGTGGGGAGAAAGGAACCCTTCTCCACTGTTGGTGGGAGTGTAGACTGGTGCAACCACTGTGGAAATCAGTATGGAGGAAGTTCTATTCTTACCTTAAGTACTTACTAATGTAATGTCAGAGCACATTTCTTTCTCATTTCTTATTGAAAATTTTAAAAAATGAATATGTGACTATTATCTTTCTTCAGAGATTTCATGCTTAAATAGCATTTTTGAAGTAGCCAATATCTCCACATCTTGGAATTTAAGAAACAGAAAAATGTCTCCTTAAATTTCTTTGAAGGAATTTAAGTGCCATACAGGAGTAAGGATTATGATTTTTGCTCCAATCAAAATGTGAGAGAAAGAAGTAGATAAGGTAACCTTATTGCCAAACTGTCATCAAGTTCAGATTTAGCCTATAAGTGCTGGACAGATTAAAACTGTAAAAGACTGGGGAAATAAAACATGGATTTGTGGGTATAAAATTCTTGAAGGTTGAAAAAAATTCAGACTCACCAAATCAGTGTCACTCATGGAGGTGAGGGTAGGATGATCCTCTAAATGAAGAGAATAAGAATATGTAGGATTATAGTGTAGCTCCTGGTGGAGGCACTGGGGCAAATTCTAACCTAACAACTCTATTAGGATTAAGAGTATACAGTCTATTACCCAGGGAATATTTTCTCACTCATAATAATTTGTGTCAGTAGTCATGGAAGAAGAGCAAGTTAACCTCAAACCAAAAAGTAGTTCTTAAAATGTTTACAGTTACAGGTGTTTCACCTACATCATGAAAATAACTGCTGATTCCCACGTTTATGAGAGGTGTTGAAATTGAGGACAACTGAGTCTATGTTCCTTATTGTGGGGAGAGTGTTATGGAGGGACAAGTGATAGATCTTCAGATGCTGCCTGGAGGAGACTGTTTTTCTCACTCAAGTCTATCTTAGTTCTGTGAACAAGTTTCTAACTTACCTGTTTCTACCTGTACCACCAAGATAGTAATTAAGTCATTCTAATTCCCAGTCATCTTCAACAAAACAGCCCCCCTCCCATAGGTCTCTTTATTTGGATAGCTAATAATTCTTTGATTTACCTCCACTATTAGGAGGCAGAAAATAGATTTATTTAATTGCAATTCCATCTATGGTTTGAGAGTGAGATCAGCAGAGAGTATGCGGTTAGAGAGCATATTGAGACATAATCATTGAAAAACAGTTTACAGAAATCTCCTTTCCTTTGATTAATCAGTTCTCCACTGTATCTTTAAAAAATGGTATTATTGAAATAGTATCTGGAGTCATGGGCAAATGCTAGGAGATTTGTTTTGCCCATCAACACCAAGAGTGGTAAGATCCTTCAGATCTTCAATGCACAGGCATTTTTGCACACTTCCATACCTGACTTTGTGGACAGTCCTTATCATTGGAAAAAGCTGCAGAGGAAAATAAACACTAGAAGTAAAGTTAAAAAGCATGGGTATGAGCATCAGGTCTTGCCAGTGCCTTATAACATGTAGATGATTACTGTGAAAACATGTTCTAAAGAAGTACTTGGATTTCTCACATATCTCATTGTAGATCCCTTGATGTACACTTACATTGGAAATTTAATAAGGAGCTGAGATTATGCATGAGAAAAAAATCAGTATTTTCTAATTAACAAAAGTAAAAATTCAAGCAATAATGACATTGTGTTGATCAATGTGAAAGGAATCTGGAAACAGTAGAGCAGAAGATAATTCTTGATGCAAGAGCTTATTGAAATGGAGAAGCATAAATCTACATAATTTTAAGTTTTATTATTTTAATTTTAACATAATTAAATTTCTTTTTCTTTCTTTCTTTTTTCTTTTGGTACCGGGTATCGAACTTGGGTCCTTGCGCTGGCACAGCAGGGGGAGAAACCACTGAGCTAAATCCTCGGCCCATAACTGGATTTTCTTAACCAAATAAATTACAATATAAGAACAACAACAATGAAAAAAGAGTGGTAAGAGCTCCATGGTGGTGTGCAGTAGGACAATTTCATCACTGGGGGTGAAGACAGGCACTGGGTTCCAGTTCACAGATTTGTTACCACCATGGAAATATAGCTGCTAAGAAAAAATGTTGCTCAAGAGATTGTTTAGCTTAATAAAAATTGTTTTCAGAAGAAACTTTAGTC